CAAGGAGAGATTAATAATATGAAATATATATTTTTTTTAATCTATATTCACAAAATAACAACATTTACAATATGTAGAACTGCAAATCTGTATAAATTACTCTATTAAACTTTGCTCTGACTGATCGTTATTTGTAACATGTTCTAAAAATGATACAATAGTTCTATTATAACTAAGATATGTAATGAATACTTTTGATTGAAATAAATTTGCTAACTATCCAACAAAAACTCCTTCATTTTGTTAATATAACTTCTATAACGGGGGTCAATAATTTGTCGAAAATCTAACGACTGCAACAGAAAATGGAATAGAAACACATAATTGGTTTCTAAATTCTCCTTGGTATTTAAATTATTTCAGTCCAAATATTCAAAACAATCGTTATTATTTGGCTTCCGACTTTCTAACGCGGGTTCGCACATGGGGACGAATGATCAATCTAGGTAGAAAAAATGAGTGGGAAAATTTTTTTAAATCAGACGTAATGAGATAAAAGAGTGATGTTTAATTAGAAGATAATCATAAATTGTTTTGAATTGAGCGGTTCCTAACGATAAATACAACCCTCTAAACAACTACTGTTTTGATGGCTTATGTTTTGTTCAATTATTATCGTATCTTTTATTTGAGCTTAGTACGACTACCTATTTATTTTTTTACAATAATATATTTTATTTGATAGGTACAGACGCCTAATATTTAAGCATCCATTCATCAAATTATCAATTCATAATTTGACCAATTAACTTATTTATTTATGCTCTAAAATAAAGCAATTTTATAACTTCAAAAGTAATTTACTAAAATATATTCAAAAATGACCCTGTGAAATTTTTCTTAGATGTTGCTTAGTAGATATATTGATGAAAGATAAATGATTTGATTGCCTTTTGAGACATTATGTTATTATATTTTTTAAAAAATTCTATTTAAATATGTCATTCGGCATTTGGAACAATCCTACTGATATATAGCCAATAATTTAACAACGATTCAAGTCGAAAAACATCTCCATTTTGCTGGGTTGAGAAATTATCTCAAATCGGCAGTGGCAAAATTTAAAACAAAATGTCAAGAATGTTTTAAGTTAGTCTTTCAAATTACATTTAAGTAGTTTTTGGTTTTACAATACAATAAAATATGAGTGCTTTTGATGAACAAACAACGCTAAATACTTCTTCTTTGAATATTGTTCGCCCTTTTAAACGATTTGGCGACTGCTATACTCGACGTAAAATCAATAAAGTTTAAGATATAATTGATACGCCAGGAGCAGAAAAAAAAAAATAGGTTCGTTACAGAAGTCTCAGTTAAATCATTACGGCAACTGCAGTTGAAGTATTGGATATACCTGAGTAGTATTTCAAATACAAATATTTTAAAATACAAAACGAAATACATTTTTCGAATTTAATATTTTAAATTAATTAATATATTTACATTATTATATAACATTATTGATATTAATAAAATATTTGATCCTATATTTTTTAAAATTACGAAATACAAAAAAAGTATTTTTTTATTATTTCAAATGCACAAAATAAATTAACGAATATAGAACATCCTACTTATAAACACACACACACATATATATATATATATATATATATATTTTTTTTTTTTTTTCTTATCCTCCATTTTATTTTTCATCTATTACAATATAAGTACATGTAATATATAAAATCATTTATCACATATATATATATATATATAAAATGTACAATGTATATATTCATTCATTTATTGTCCCTACGTGTTTCCTTCCTTTTTTCCCTTATATTCGTATATAAATTAGTAAAATATCATGTGCCTGTACGGCAATTAAAACCGCAGCTGGAATAAAACTAAAATAACAAGTGTTAAGAGTTTTTTCCGCCTAGATTGGTCATTCGTCCCACTGTGTGTCGCGTTAAGATGCAATTATGAATAATAGCTCATTACAAAAAAGATGATATGCTGAATGTTATTTCTCTCGCTGACAGTATGCAAATCTGCTTTTTGGTTTCTGGGATATTGTAATACAAATGCAAAAACACTTCAATTTTTTGCACTGACTTTACCTGAATCAGCGTTACATATCCGTGAGTGATGGCTCAGTCTCATTCACTACCCAGAAAAAAAATGCATGGTGCACACTAAAGAAGTTTTCACTTAAAAAAAAATGAAAGACAATACAAATTTTTTTTTTTTTAATAATGTATAGTCGAGTCGCACTGTCGAATAATAAATTCATCGAAGCAATGAAAGTTTTGCAAATGGATGAAGTGCCTTTGTATAACCATAAGAAATTTGTTTAAAATATTAAAACCCCATGATGGGCGTAAGTTCCACTAAATCAAATAATCCAAAATAAACAATGCTTTTTCAAATATGAAATTAATTTGGCGTGATTTTCTTTGAACATGGTATACCGTGTAATTGGGATCAATCATACTACATAAGGATAAGTAAATTCATACAAAAGTGACATCTTTGATCTCAAGTTCTTCCGGTTTATTGATTTGACGTAAAATATATTTGATGATGTGTCCTTATCTGCAATGCAGAAGATTGTCCAATGGGTTTTTTGTATGTTTGCCTCTTATTCATTCATGTTTTTTCTCACAGTTCTAGAACTAAATAAGACGTTTTATAGAGTAAATGATTACGTCAATCGATTTATGGAGCCTGAAAATCCTCATTTTAAAAGTTAAAAAACATGACCCTTTCCCGGAATTAGAGTTCCAGACAGATTAACATTAATATGCTTTGTGATTTACATGCACTCTGTATAGATGTAAGATAATTCCGGCAAAATCTACACACATTATATATCTATATATAGTTATCAGATAAAACACTATATTTGCTGAAGTATAGGACTTTGGTAAAAGTAATTCTTCTGGGTACGATTGAACTTTAATAATGATATCTTATAATATTGTAAATATAACAGATTGAAATCTATTCCAACTTTGTTAGATCCTTAATAAAGGATTACGTTTTATAAACGATTTTTATTTTTTATATGTTATTTGCTTAAGGTCATGTGACTTACAAATATTTAATTTATTATAATTAATAAATAAACTTCATTATAACGACAATCCTATCCTAATCCAAAACGACAAGAAAACCAGATCTTTTTTTAAAATTTAAATTGAGTTAGTTGCATTAATAGATTTATATTGCAAACCTGGATTCTTCAAGTCAAAAAAAGTTCAATAAATAACAAGTAATGATATTTTTCGAATTCGAAAACTTACAAAAAAACATTTTTTAATGTATGCCAATAAATCATTGTTTTTTTTAAAAAAAATGATAATTGTTTTATATACTCTTTCAAATAGTTGAAAACTAATATAAAGCGGTTTCTGGATTTAAATTTTTTTTTTTTAGTCAATTTAAAAACAACAGAATATGTAAATATTTTTGTTTGCCTAAGTCTTGTCGTATTGTTTTTACTGCAATAATCATCGTATCTTTTCCCAGCCTTCGATTCGAAACAAAATATTATAAATTTATAAAAACGCGATTTTTAAGAAGAGCAATAAATAACATTTTAATTCTCAAAAACCACTGAACTTAATTCGATGTATATATATTTTTTTAAAAAAGACACTAATTATTGCATTTTATTCTTTCAGTTTTTTATTGGATTTTATCATTTGGATGGATCAGTACATGTTTATTAATTACTATAAAAAAAAAAATTAATTTGATTCCTATGAAATATTTTGGAAATAATATACTTCAGCTTTAGAAGAAATTGAAAAAAATTGAAATTCAGATGGAAATAATTCGTTTAATGTTATTAAGGATTTTATAGTACTATATATTTAATATATAAATAAATGCAGTGTATGTATGTTGAGTTTTCACATACTTTGGTAATAAAAAGCATTGTTTCTCAAAGAGCAAGGAAAAAACGGTCAATGATTAGACGACCAGACAATTTCTTTATTTGGATTGCGAAGACTCATGTCCATAAATAGCAAACGCCTACTTGATTTATTCACTGGACAACACTCTAGCTATCAAGAAAATATCATCTGAAATATATTCGTAATTTAACAATATCGGTCTATAAAATGAAACATAATAACATTATAATTATTTGGCATATTTAAAATAATTCTGGAAAATGGAAACAACTTGTGAAATGCTGTTAAAATAAAATGAATATTGTAGTGCAAAATAAATTAATTAAATGAAAATAATTTTCAATTAATTTTTAGTAATACAATGTAACTTATACGACAAGGGATTTTTTCTAAAAACGTTAACGTAAATTTTAAGCTTCAATGTTTTGTTCATGTTTTCTTTCTAAATCCTGTCATGACATCTTCTGTATGTAAAATATAAAAATTTAAAATATATACTAATTTATTATTGAAAAATAAAAAAATAGACTTTTAAAACTTGGGCATTCATTTTGTATGAATAAAAATGCAAAATTTTGAAACTAGTCCCTAATTCAATAATATTAATGGGGCATCTAAAAATTTTAAATTTAAATTTAGTAAATTAAAAATGTTACTTTAATTGTCAAGCATAATGAAAAATAACACATCAAACGCATTAACCAAGGTAAACACTTTTTTTTTTTATTTCCTAAAAAAAAATACTACATATCAAGGATTTTTTTCTACACAGTTTTTCCTGGGTGTCTACAAAAAAGATATATTTAGGAAAATCTTCCATAAAAATTTAAAAAACAAAACAAAATAACCGAATGTTGTCATTATTAGATTTTTTTTTATAGGATAATAATTAGCAATAATAATTATTAATATAATAATATATTTGTATCAGATAGACATTAGATTAAATGTGCAAAAAAATATTACAATAAATAGTTTGCAAAAATAATAAACAAATGATTAATTTTTTTTTTCTAGTAAATTTGAAGAATACCAAGAAGGTTTAATTGAAGTTCGATAAAGATTGGTTACATTAAAATCCTTTGTTACTTACATGTAATGAAATGAATATAACCATAATCTATAACTGACCTAGGATGAAGAGACATAATGCTGACAGCACAAAGCCCAAACTACGAGTTAACATCATTGTGACTGAACACAGACTGAAACACTGAGCGGTCTATGGGCTTGGCGCTCTTCGGAACGGCACTGCGCATGCGTCCTCTCAGCTGGGGACTACCTTTTGCTTGTAAATATTGTCCTCTACCACGGATCAAGAAATGGTGATGGCTCCTGCTGGAACATGTAGCGAACTTTGAGGTATCGATGCCAAATTTACAAAAGACTTGAATAGAAAAAAAAATTATAATTATAATTTTTATTTTCTATTGATATATCTAACATATTTCTAATAGTATCGAACATACTCAGAGAATCGTTACTAATTTTGTTTCTATACATTTCAGATGATTGGAGAAAAATAACTTAAAGATGGACGTTATGCGCTAAATTGATAAGGAGCAATGCCTATTTAAAAAAATAAAGATTAGAAAATTAAAATATTAAAGAAAATTGTGTTCTGTTTGTATGTTTATTATTCAAGAAGAGATGAACATCGTGGAGACTACAACTGATGAAAATTACTCCTACTTACAATCGCATAATGTAGGTCAAACTTTTTGTGTGAGTTCACGCCCACCACCTATGAGTGACAATTCTAAAATAATTGGTATCTAAGATTTTTCTGTGTGTTTTTTTTCGTCGGTATGGTTTATCTTCGTTTAGTCAAATTTTAATCAAATTCCATAAGTAAGGCCACCATTTTGATGGTCATCTCCTTCGGCATTCAAGATTCTGATGCGAAAAATATATACATCCCCTGGAAAAGTCAGGAGAAAAGGAAACTTTATTTGCCCAAAATTCAAAAAGTATACAATTTATCATCATAAATTGTATAATTTTTGACCTTTGGGCAAATATACCTATGATTATTAGGTAGGTTTTAAAAAATCATTGAAATTGGACGGTGTTTAAGTTTTTATCTTTTTTTTTATTTTTTAGAGAAAATGAACAAATTTTTTAAATACAAATATTAAAGTGGGCAACGCTCTCAACACTCAACACTCAACGCTGAACGGGCATTGACGTTTGGTCGTCACGGTCTCATAAAGGTTAGCACTTTTCGTTTTTTTGTCCACCCATTTCTCGCCTTTTAGGGCGAGGTTTCCGGGTATACAGGGTGGTTTCCGGGTGTGGAGAAAGGGCGTAGGGTTATTACCAGAGTTAAAAGCCACCCCCCTTCCGATGCCGGGATGACAACTCTAAATTATTTTATCATGTTAATTTCTGTTTATCAGTTTGCATATGTTTTCCACACGCTTTAGCCCGCTTGGCCTCCCCGCACCCGATCTTGGTTAGAGCTGTCTGTAGATTATGAAAGTGGAAGTAATGAGTCCACACCCATCTCCTGAAGTCTCCGTGTTATTCTGTACTCTTAAACCACCCTATGAAAAGAGTCACAAAAGCATATGGTATACCAACAGTATTTTTGTTTATGAGACGGATTTTAGAGAGCAATCTGCATATGTAGAATGTCCCCTATTAAAATTGTTTCAAGTATCAAATTAGCAAAAGGCCCTAATGAATCTAATTTAGCGGGCATTGAACTCAGTCTACCAAAGAAGGCCAGTTTGGAAGCGAAGATGAGTGATAACGACATGGAAGTTAAGGTGACCATGGAGATTGCTAACAACGGTGGCGTGAACTGTAAGTTTTCCAAATAAAAAGATTTGAAAAAAATTACATATATATTATTAATTTACTTTCACTAACTAGTATATATATATTTATTTATTTGAAGTTTAAAAAATGAAATCTAGTCAGGCTGTGCTTGACGGAGACACTCAATAAAGTTAGAATCGGTAATAATTTGTCCGAAAAATTTGAGGTTCGTTCGGGCTTAAAACAGGGGGATTCTCTTTCGCCTGTCCTGTTCAATTTGGCATTAGAACATGCCATTAGGGAGGTAATGCGAACCGAGAAAGGGTTGGATCTGGGCGGGACAACATCCGTGCTGGGCTATGCTGATGATCTGGTACTGTTAAGCGAAGACGTTGAAACTATAAAACTAAATACGACAACGTTAATGAAAGCCGGGAAAGAACTAGGACTAGAAATAAACGTGGATAAAACAAAATATATGGTTAGCTGCAAAAATGGCGATACTACTGGTGATATCGATATAGATGGTAATATGTTTGAACAGGTAGATAAATTTAGGTATCTAGGTTCTACGATAACTAGAAAAAACGAAATTGAAGAAGAGATTAAGGTTAGACTGAAGGCGGGGAATGCTTGTTATTTTTCTGTGACAAAACTACTTAGTTCGCGCCTCTTGTCCCGAAACTTAAAAATTAGAATCTATAAAACAATTATCTTACCTACAGTTCTTTATGGATGCGAAACTTGGCCGCTTACATTAAGGGATGAGCAGCGTCTTAAGGTTTTTGAAAATAAAGTATTGCGTAGAATATTCGGACCGAAAAAGGATGAGTTAACCGGAGAGTTCAGACGGTTACACAACGCCGAATTGCGTGAGATGTATCCGGGTAATATAATTGAGGTAATTTCATCGCGGCGAATCAAATGGGCTTGTAAAGTTGTTGGGCTTAGTAACCAGAGAATTCCTAAAAGGTTAATATTTGCTGTGCCGAATGGTAAGCGTCCGAGGGGTAGACCGAAGCGAAGATGGGAGGATTGCATTAAAGCCGATCTGAAGGGACTGGGTTTGGACGGCGAACGGTGGAAGGAGGTGTGTAACAAGCGATTGGTGGTGTCGGCATCGAACCTTCGGGTTCGCTAAGCCCTATTATTATTATTATTATTAAAAAATGAAATTGTCGAATAGATTTCCTTTCTAAAGTCTAAAATTTAATTTTGGCGTTCCAACATTTGCTGTCATTGTCATTTACTTAAAGATACCTCTCAAAATAGTTCGATAAACTTTATAAGTAATAATTATATTATTTCAGAGGCCGTGGTGGTCGAGTGTGTTAAAGCGTTGACAGCATTATCATCGTCGAGTCTAGCGGCGCCACTTCGAACCCGGCTAGAGGAGTTAAAATTTATTTCATGACTGACCTGTGAAAAGATTCTCGGTTTTTCCTCTCTTACAAGAAAAAAAAATTGGTTGTGACACTAGGATAGCCTCCTTTCCATCCCATATGCCAAAAATGGCCGGGTTGGATTTAAAGGGGAAAAAAATTATGTTGCAGGTAATAAACTAGTCAGATTGTACTATTTCTTTGTGTCTGGCGTTCTAACCTTTATCCTCCTAATATTGTTGTTATTCACCTGGATAAACTTGCAGAGTTTCCAGTCCACTTTTGGTAATTATGAAGTGCAATATGCAATAAATTTTATTTTTATTGGGACCTAATCAGGGTAGATTTCATAGTACCTATTTCATTTCACAAATCGTCAATTCCAGGTTTTTGTTGTAATTATTTTCTAATTTTTTGGAAAAGACGATTAATACCATCGGCTTATACCAGCAGTGATTTTTTTGAATAATTTTTATCATAAATCAGCTACAAATTTGTTATAATAATGCTGATGAAATACCGACTTTTGCCGTTTGTTGTTTTATTATCTTTTATTTATTAGCGTTTGTTATATTTTAGTCGATATTTCTTTACATAACCTAGGTACTAGATATGTCATAAATTGTTACTATTTTTTTTTCACTGATCCAGTTTCATAAAAGGCTTGGCTTCAATATCTTCAGTTAAATTTTCTTTTATTGTATTTCCAATACATTTTAAGGTTTTTCTGATCAATCTTCTATAATGTATTGATTTTTGTTTCCAATTACGTGGATGTGACTTATTGCAATAATTCATCAAGCGACATTTCATACGCTTAATATGAACAATGAATTTTCTCTTCATAAAATCAGAAAAATGTACGATTTTTGTAATTATATTTGATGTATAAACAGTATGTGTTATTTTAGTGAACTCACTGTTTCTTTATCAATAAATAAGGTTGAAATTCGCATAAACGTTCTTAAAATTTCAATAAAGTGACTTTTCACAATAAACCGGCGATATATTCGTCTAGAACTGAAATATTTTCGAAGGAATGGACACAATTGCTTGATGCCAATAACTCAACCAGAAGACTGACATGTCGTTAAATACTATTTAATGATAGACCATGGCGGAGCACTGATTAGGGACAGACTATAATTACTCTATAACTATTGGACAGCCGTCTGGATTCTGAGAGACGCTTAAAAAAGAACACAAACAAAAAAAGGCGTAAAATATTGCTTGCAGCCGTTCGGGGTCTTTGTTCCCACAACCAGGCGTAGCTGCTGCATCCGCTCGCTCTGGCATATGCCTAGCTTTCTGCTGAATTTTAACCAAGTATTTTTAGTCATTTAATAAAGACTTTTTTTTTGTAATATAATGGAGAATAATTTAAATAATATTGGTTTTAAGGTTTTAACTCCGGATGATGGTGGATATGTATATATATACACACAGGCGAATCTACGGGAGGGGAGGGGGGGGGGGCTTACGGGCTGAAACCCCCTCAACATGGTAAAATATAACCTTGTTTCACAAAAAAAAATATTTAAAACTATCTCTTAAAGTATTCTTGATCGTGTAATTACATTTAATAGGACTTCAAGAACCACTTAAACACCATTTCATATAGGTAGTTAATTTTTTTTTTCTAATTAATTATTGTTATATGTACATGAAAAAAAATCTTTCGGTCTGAAGCCTTCCCCCTCAAAATTAAATCCTGGATCCGCTTATCTCTGATTCGCCGAATTATAGATCGTGGATAAATATATATATATATATATATATATATATATATATATATATATATATATATATATATATATATATATGTATATATTTATATACTTTTATTTTTCAGACTTGGATCAACTCTGAGTTCGGAAGAGATATAGTGGGTAACGCTGATCAATCAAAGGGTTGATATAAAATCCTGCTTGAGCGTAATCCTTACCAGATCACTTCCTAGGGATGTTAGAAAAATAATGATAAATAGAAATATAGATATTTATATGGTGGCATTTCGACCGATATTTTTTATTTCGATATACAATGATAAAAAATATTAAAATTAAAAATTTCGAAAAAAAGCTCCTCGCAGTTTATCACATAAAAGCAGATTATTTTTAAAAATGAGAAATATTGATTAAATATTTTTATATCTTAGTAATAAG